TTGTGTGTGTGTGTGTGTGTGTGTGAGAGAGAGAGAGAGAGAGAGAGAGAGAGAGAGAGAGAGAGAGAGAGAGAGAGAGAGAGAGAGAGAGAGAGAGAGAGAGAGACTGGGGGAGGTCTTCCCTTAGAGAGAGGTGGGGGGTTCTGGGGGAGGTCATCCCTGGGGGGCCTGGGGGTCTCCCTTTTCAGCTTTACCCCCCAGCATGCCCCTGCTCCTACAGAATAGGCTAGCCACCTTGGGCTTTGTCAGCCAGCTGGGAAATGTCCACGGTCACTCTCCAGGCAGCAGCACTCTGTCACTGAGCTGCATCCCCAGCCCATTGTCAGACATCCTGAAGAATTCTCTCACTATTGTGCTGTAAAAGAAGAATGAAGTGGATTTTCTGGATTTACACAAAGGCGAGAATAAGACTAACATCATGCCGAATTCGTACTGCACGATCCCATTATAGCAAACAAAAGACAGGAAGGGGACAAATGTGAACTGTCAGTTTCAGTGACGGCAGCACACACGGAGAGGTCTGGCCAGGGTACCTGCCAACTGTGAACAAGACTGGGGCGAGGAGGTATCTCAGAGTACAGGAACAGCGAGGTCTAGGCCTCTGCTGCTATGTTGTGTGAAAAGCAGCTTAACAGCACCCACTATTGGTAGCCGTGGGTCTATTTGTTCCCTTCTTGGATGGGGTAAGTAAAAACAAAGGGGTGAAAACACACAAGGATGATCCATAGGAGTCCATGAGTGAAGAAGCCTGGCTTGGGCCTGTGAGGTGAAAACACGCTTGGGCCTGTGTGTGTGTGTGTGTGTGCATGCAGTTCTAGCTCTGACCACAGCACACATGTTCCATAGGAGCCCACTGGGAAAGCATTGTGAAATCCTTTCTGAAGGACTCGAGTTACTGGAGAAGACACACAGCTGAGGTGCAGCACAATCCCTGTCTGGAGGGTTCAATGAGAGGGGTAAGCATGGTTCCATACAGCCTCCCCAGAGCACCTCAGAGTACACAACTCTACTGCTCTGTCTCTCAAAGGAACCTGCCTGAGGGCTGGAGAGATGGTTCAGGGGTTTTGAACACTGGCTGCCCTTCCAGAGGGCCTGGGTTCAATTCCCAGCACCCACATGGCAGCTCACAACTGTCTAGAACTCCAGTTCCAGGGGATCTGGCACCCTCACACAGACATATGTGCAGGCAGAACACCAATGCACATGAAATAATGGAGGAGGAGGAGGAGGAGGAGGAGGAGGAGGAGGAAGAGGAGGAGGAGGAGGAGGCAGCACCTGTCTGAGGAGGAAAGGGCTGAGAAAACTGTCTAAACCATTTCTCATGTGGGTAAACGGGTCCAGAGGGATGAAAGTGACGGTCTCGGGGATATGTAGGAGGCAAAGGTAGAGAGGCCCTCAGGACACCCACAATACCTCAGGCTCTGGGTGTCCTCACATCTACACATCCGTGGCAACAGTACTCAAGGCTGCCCTGTTCCCACTGAAGACCAGCTCCAGGAGCAGTGCCCAGGGGCTTTCAGAGGGCGCATTCAGCCAGGTGGCCACAGAATGTGGACTTCCTGTCCAGGGCAAGGGGCAGATGCCACAGCTTCCTGGACTGACCCTGTCCAAAGCGCATGCTCTCGTGCCCTGGGGACTGTTTCTTTAGGGAGCTGTGTTCTGCAGTCCTCATCTGTCATAGGAGACTCTCTCCAGGTCACATGTCAGGGTCCAGCAGAGGGGGTCTCTTTAGAAGGACCTATATTGCCACAGAGACATCCTGTGGCAGGCTGGGATGCTGAAGTGGCAGCTATCTTATGAGGGCATCAGCAGGACCTCTGTACTCCTCTCCATTCAAGGGAGTCAAGTTGTCCTGCTGACCCTTGGGGGACTTGTCAGCTTCCTTAACAGTAGGTGGGTTAAGGAACCAGGGCAAACAGGTCAGGGAGCTTATGCCACTTAACCTTCAGTGTTCATGGCCCAGGGACAATCTGGCACAGTAAGAGGCATGCTACTTCATTAAAGGCCTAGGCCTCCTGCAGGGGGAAAGGCTGGGAAGGATTGGGATCCGTGGTTTCTATGATAGAGTGGATATGCAAAGATACACGTAACTTCTTCAGAACACCCACAGAATGGATGGAAAGGGGGGATCCTAACTATGGTCCAACAAGACACTAAGGTAAGAGACGTATCTATCCACACGCGCAAATGGACAGGACACCATCTCTACTTGAGCAGCTGCTTCTCAGGTACAAACGCCTCCAGGTAAGAGTTTATGGGCAGCAGGCAATGCTCCTGTTCTCTCACCCTCAACTTCTGTTCTCCAGAACTCTCCATCCCAGGGACATCTGGGCTCCCATCATCCACTTGGCCTTGGGGTCCTGTTGCCTACTGTTCTTTGGATCCAGAGGAGTTCTCTGCTTACCGAGCACTCAGCTCTGCTGAGTCACTGAGCACCTGCTACAACTTGGCCTGGCTGGGAGGTCTCTAACCCGGCTGCCATCATACAGCTCTCCAGGGGCCACAGCAGCAGCTGCAGCGACACTGCACATTACCACCCACTGCCCTGGGCACGCTGGGGTCCTCCCAAAGATAGAGTCTCCCAAGTTTTTTGGCTTTTTTTTTGCAGAGAAGCTCTTTGGGGCATAAGACCAGCTGCCAAGTATATCTTTAGAGAACAAAAGGGCTGAAAGGCCACACTCTGGAGTTTAGCACGCTGGACTTGAACCATGCACGCGTTTGTCCTTGTCACTAGCTCTATGACCACGCCTGGACTGCTGTGTCCTCAGCTGGAGGTACTGACATAGATCCTAGGGATGGAGGAGACACAGTGAAACTCTGATGATGGTGGCAGTATGTATGTGTGTGTGTCAGGGCCGGGGGTGGGGGGATGCGACTTGCTTCTGCATAATCGCCAAGTCTATGTACTTAGATCTGTGCCCAAATTGCATGTCCAACCTCCTTCCTGTACGGCAGAAGACTGATGAGCAGGAAGGTAGGCGAGGAGATAGACGGAGGCTGCAGCTCATTACACTCTGTGTGTGTGGTGTGCGCCCACGTGTGTGTGGGAGTGCAACTGTTAACATTCAAGGAGCTTGCTGCACAAAGCAGTTTCCCTTGCTCTGATTCCAGCCCACCCTTTCTGCCTATGATGTGGACCGCACTGCACATGAGGGTAACTGAGGCCAGCCAAGCTGGGAGACACTCACTCCCCAGCCCTGTGATAGGACAGGCACATTTTATGTTGGAGCCATTTTCCATTCAGAAATGTCTCCTAGGGAAAATTAGCAAGTATTTACAAAGACTGACACAATAGTACTGGTTACTTTTACATCTAATAACCAATGATTGGAATTCACCTGTGTCTGATAACTTACCACACCCACTCTATAAAACAGTAATAAAGAAACAATAAATAAGACACAAAAGTGTGGAAACATGAGAAAAACACACTGAGTTAACAGTCAAATGATGACAGCAAAACATAAGATTACTCTAGAGAGTCCCAACGGGTGCTGTCCCACAGGAGTACCAGAGAGTAGCAGTAGCACACTTACATTGCAATCTAAGCAGTCACCTTGAAAAAAGACAAAAACCAAAATCAACACACACACACACACACACACAAACAAAAAACAAAAACAAAAAAACAAACCAGCCAAGCAGGAGCAGGGCAATACCTACCTATAATCCAGCATTTGGGAGGGAGAGGCAGAAGGTACAGGGTTCCAGGCCAGCCTGAGATATAGCAAGACCCTGTCTTCAACCAACCAACCAACCAGTCAACCAACCAGTCAACCACACCCAATGACAGAGGAGATTAATTTCAGTAATGTTATAAATCCTCATATGTCTAAAAAAGACTGTTCCTTCAACATGTGGCAGACAGTAAATGTCACTCACAAGGTAACTGTATACTTTCTTTGGTACCCAGGCTTCAGATTACAGCTCTCATCTCTAAAGGAACAGTTAGAGTCACATGAGACCAGCGACTCCCTGCCTGGCCGGCTGGTCCTGACTCCCTAAAAATGTTATAAAGATTTTCACATTGGGGGAAAGGATCAAAATGTCAAAGAGTTGTTTTGTTTTGCTTTGCTCCTGAGTGGCAGGGATCTGCATGACATTCTTCCCTGTCCTTTGTTTTCCTGAGTGTTTGAGCAGAATGGATTCAACTTTGAGCACTAGCGAGCATCAGTCTTTTACATTTTAGAACAGGCGTAGATTTTAAGCACAGCTTCCACACGGTCGCTTATGGTAGCTCTGTGGGTGCTGCCCTGTGTCCTGATACACTCAAGCATACTGGCTGGTTAAGTGATCAGTTGTGGCTGGGTAGGATGGGTGTATGGAGAGGTGGACTGAAGAAGAAAGACAAGGCAGCTCAGCAGTGGGGAGAGTAAGCTGAACCTGGACTCTTGTTTCCCAATCCCCTGGCTGCCACTTGCCAGCTGTGTGTCCCTGAATGTAAGACAATATAAGGGCAAAACCCTCTTTATAGGACTCTGAGCAGAGTAAGATAACAATTTCACTTTCCTTTATTATGTGGATGAGTGTTTTGTTTGCATGCGTGTGTGTATACCTCGTGTACAGGCCAGAAGAGGGCATTGATCCCCTCGATGGTTGTAAGCCACTCTGGGTACTGGGTCCTGGTACTGAACCCAGGTCCTCTGCAAGAGCAATAACTACTCTGAGCCATCTCTCAAGCCCCAAGGTTACTGTGTCAGTGTTAAACACAATGTCTGTCATAGAGCCAAGGATTCCAGAAAAGAAGGTCCTTGCCATGTGATCAGATGAAAGACCAGTGTGGTCAGGCTGTCCCAGATTATGAGGCAATGGCATCTGGGGCACTTGCTGTGGCCACAGGTACCCTGGGCTCCTACTGGATGCTGCTGTGGGAATTCCCCAAACCCTACACTGTCCTCTCCCTCTCCCAAGAGCAGAGCATGTGGCCCCTATATCTTAGCCATGTGAACCTCATTCTCAGGTTTGGATGTGTCCCCTCTTGTCTGGGTCCTGCTGCATACCTGCACCACCTCAGGCCTCACGTTGAAGATATACAGCCAGTCACTGAAGCGTGGGTAGCTGTTGAGCTCGGCAGTCCTGTCGCTGGGGGTCACACTCAGTTTACACTGCCTCTGCTTGCAGATGTACCGCACCAGCTTTGCCTGTGGGAAGTCCAGAAAATAAAAGGTTACCTTTATGGGTAACACAAGCATGTGGCAGCCACGTGCCATCTGGAGAGTTCAGGCAGATACTGGGGATGTGCTGAGAACAGGAACCAGCAGGGGGCAGGGAAAACCCTTGCTGTCATTCATGGTGCAGAAAGGCTACAAATGGGGAGAGGAATTTGGATGGTCTATTTGCAAGCACGGAGACCACATATTCACTGAGGCTGGCCAACTACACTGCCTTCAAAACTAGGTCCTCAATAATAAAGGTCACAACTGTTCAGAACAACAGCCAGCTAAACAGAAGGCAGCCTTCCTGCTTGGTGCACAAATACAGATAATTGATAACAAGGAAAGAGGGGAGGCTTGCAAACACGGGGCAACCTTCCAGCTGTGATTCAGACAGCCTGGATTGGGGCAGAAGTTCTCCCCTGGCTCTGTGATGCTGGGCAAGTTACTTATCCTCCCCTCCAACACACACACACACACACACACACACACACACACACACACACACACTGATGATAAAAAGAGATGCCCCCTCAGAGAGTTGAAGAGACAGCCAGCTCATTACTATACAGAAAGTACCCAACTTTCTAGGGACAGTGGAGTGGGGACAGTGTTGGTAACAGCTCTTGGCACAGATTATTGGGGAATATACACTCCAAGAATGTTGGCAAATTCCAGACCCAATGGAAGAATGTCCAAAGTTTTCAAAAGACTCAAGCAAGATAAGTTTGAACAAGGACGGACTGACCCAGGTCAAGCACAGAGCTCTGAGGAACCAAACCAGCACTGAGGGACACAAGGGCAGAGGAAGACACACAAGGCAGGCACAGCTCAGACAAGCTTCAAGCTTGAAAAGGAGGCTCCAGCTGAGGCTACCCAGCAGGCTCCAACGGACAGGAGTATGGCACCATTCAGGGAGCCAAGGAGAGCGGCTACCTGGTTTGGCTATGTCTGTGGTATCCACTGCCTATGAGAATATCTGAGGCCAGGCTCTGGTCCTATTGTAACTCTCAGTGTCCCCAAAAGGCAAGCATCACCTAAAAGCCAGACCCTGTCACTCAGAAACACTCAGGTCTGAAGGGGTTGACGGCCTAGGTAATACAACCCTTTCCCATCACCTGTAAAGATCTCAGCATGTTTCTCAGAGTCTGATGACATTTGTTATCTTGTTAACATACATCCTAAAGACCAGTAAATATCGGTCAGCCAGATGGCTCAGCAGCTAAAAGCATTTTTGTCACCAAGACTGATAAACTAACCAAGTTTGACCTCTGGATTCCACACAAAGGAAGAAGGGGACCAACTCATCCTTTGACCTTCATGTGTGTGTTATGGAGTATATGCTTCCACATGTGTGAGTGTGTGTGTGTAGGTGCATACACACACTCTACAGAGAGTAAATAAATCTTTTTTTTAAGATAGAGAACAATTAAAGAAAATATCTGATATCAACTCTTCCACATGTACAAACCCACATGAACACATACACACATGTGCCCACATACATACACATGAATGCATACATACACATGCCTGTAGTAGCATCTCCCCTTTGCCATGAATTTGTGTTAGTGGCTCCACCCCTTTGGGCATGGCTTCAGGAAGCGGGGGGGGGGGGGAGGGGGATGCACTCTCTCTTGTCTTGGAAAGCTTTGGAAGGGCAGAGACTGAATCTTCTGGAGCAGGAATGCTGCTGTGGTTCCTTACTATTATCTTCGTAAGTTGTTCCCCAATAAAACACCTATTTATCATTTATCTTGAGTCTGGTGAACTCAGTAATACCCCGACTTCACATGGCCACATATACACACTTGAACACATTCACAACACATAGACCAAATTTTTTTAAAAAATATAGTTTGACTCTACCAATAATCTGAAAAAGACTCTCTCCCCAACCCATCTGAGAGCTACTGGTCCTCTCATAAGGCCCCAAATCATGCTAACCAGTATCAGGAGGGTTAGTCAGAACTGGCACCATTGTTAGTAGGGAAGCAAAACTGAAACCACCCACTCAGGCATACAGTTAGAATGCTTGGTACAAGTGCTAGCACAGGTGAGCCCAGGCACCCTGTTCTGATGCCCAGGGCAGACAGTACTAATCACACTCTTGGTTGATTAACCTCCCAACCCCCAGTCTATTTGCTATCCTACCAGGAAACCTAAGATCCTGAGAACATCTTCAGGGCAAAGTTCACAAATGTCATTGCACAGATACCACTTTTACTGTGCAGACCTAAGTAGGGACACGCCCAACCTTCCCTTAGGCTTGGATCCATTCTTTATAGTCCGAGCAGAGGCAAACTCTAAAATCAGAGCCCCAAACTCCTTCCCTAGCTGGTCCCCACAGCCCCCACCATATCCTGCTACCCTCCTGACTCCCTCACCCAGCAGCTAAATACTGGTCTCCCAGATGAACAGGTCCAGGTTCAAATCTGCCACTTACTGGTTGATAACCTCGAGGAAGTTCATTCCTTCCTCTGCGTCTTACTTTATTTCTCTAACCCCAAAGAACTAGCTCACACTCAACTAGGCTATGGAACCCTCATGAGTAACAAATTAGGTCCCTCTACTCCACATGAAGGCAGGGCCTGTGTCTCTCTCACTCATTTCTGCCCCCTTGTGTTGGGCACTGCACCTTGTTCTGAGTTCACAAATGGCTGAGGCTGGAAGGAGGGAGGATACACCAGGGCCCATCCTCAGGATCTCCCCTCCCTCGCTCTCTCCCTCCCTGCTTCCACAGCAATGGCTTGCAAACCACAGCTTCAAAGGGTTGGCCAGAGGCAGGCCTACTCACCAGATAGCTGTACAAACTCAAAACTACCCTTTTCCACATTAATCAAAGAGGCTAGGCTCCTAGCGTTAACATGGCATCAATTATGACCACCCGTCAGTGTGGGTTCACACTGGACCTCTGGGGATGATCAGTAACATAGTGTTTTACACAGGACTTTGGCCATGGCTAGCCAATGCAGGGAAGCAGTGCCCTGGCCTAGGCCTGAGCCAGCCTGTAGGTCTCTGTTTCTGCCTGTCTGCCCTCCCCAATCCTGTTTAGCTAATCATTCATCTTTGTGCCAGCAAACTTCTTGCCAAAAATCCTTGGACCTAGGCTAGGGTTTCCACACCCCTTCCTCCAGGAAGCCCTTGCCCAAATGGATCTTAGTCCTTCCAGCTTGTCTGCCTTTTTGCCCAGGGTCTAAGTCCTGCATCTCTGATCACCGCTAGACGCCCACTGAGTGCCGTTAAAAAAAAAAAGATGGCACATGCCTTTAATCCTAGCACTTGGGAAGCAGAGGCAAGTAAATCTCTGAGTTCAAGGCCAGCCTGGTCTACAGAGTGAGTTCCAGTACAGCCAGGGCTACACAGAGAAATCAAAACAACAACAAGAAACAAAAGCCAAAAATAAAACTTTAAAAATTTTTTCCCAGCATGGCATGAACCTGCACACTCTACTGCTGAGCTATACCCTAGTCTCATCGTTTTATAAAAGCTGTTGGAGATCTGGGCTAAATATCCCAAAGCAGGCCACGGGCAGGACTTGCGGTATAGAACTTGCAGTGAGTCTTCATTATACCCAATCACAATGCATACTGCCAGTGAGGCCTGAGCTGAGGGACAACCTCCCCCCCCCCCGTGTGCTGTGACTGCTGGCAGCTCTGGAGTCCTGGAGCTGTTGTCTCCTGTGAACTTGCTCTGTTGTGGAGCAGTGCTCTCTCCCACATGGCACTGGAGGGTGAGGGTTCCTATCACAGGGAAATGAGCTGCTCTCACTTTTTCTCAAAGTCAGGGAAACACCAAATGGCTACTTTCTGAGACAAACCGAAGCAGGGCTTGCCAGCCCCGCCCAGGGGGTGTGCCAGGGGACCTCTCACCAATGGTGTCATTTCCTCTTCACCACAAACCCCACAAGATCTAAACTTTCCAGAATTTAAAAGCGCCTGAGGTTCCCGGAGTCGTCAGGATGCCGGCCACAGGGGAGGACCTTTGGTCTGCCTACCCCAACACCCTGATGGTCATTCGCATCAAGAGTGTGAGCCCTGCCGTACTCTGACACACGAGCAGGTTTTCAGAGTGTGAAGGAGCTTTGGAGAGCCCACAAACAAGTCGGTAGGTTCTGTATACAGCAAGCACTCACTAAAACAGCCTGGACCGAAAAATCCACTTTCTGCTCCGAGTTCTGACAGTTAAGAGCAAAGATAGAGAAAAGTCACAGCGCTCAGCTTCAACCTGGGAAGGACAGTGGCGCTTGGAGGCTGAGGCCCATGAGTGTCTACCTACAAAAATACTGAGAACCAGCAAGAAAAATGCAGGTCCCACAGCATTATGCCAGTTACTCAGGTCATCCCTGGGGATCACAGTGAAACAAGAAAGGACTTGCACAGGGTGGCTGGTTGCAGGCAGCCATTGTCATTGGACTGGCTGATGTCAGGCAAACATACTACCCACATGCAAGGACACTCAAGCCTGTTTATCTCCAACACCTGGTCTACCTGTTTAGCTCCCTTGTTCCATGCCCTGAGGGACGCATTAGGTAAAGCAGACCTCAGCCTCATGCCACCTCCCCGTGGAAGGGACTAGACGACTTCAATTCAGCTTTCCCGTCTGTCTGCTGCATTCCCTGTGGACTCCACTGCCAGTGCTTTCTCCAGCACCCAGGGCCCTGTGAGTGTCACTCCAGCTCGGTCAGCAAGAATGAACGTCTCAGTGGGAAGAGGCACACAGACCTCTGGTGGATGTCGTCTGAGCGACACCTCATACCTCCGCCAAAAAACAAAACAAAAACTTTCCAGAGAGCTAACTCTGTAAATGACATAGTTCCACCCTAAAGTTGCAGGGCCTAGGCTCAGGAGATTCTTCTGTAGGAGACTTATAGGTAAGTGGCCAGATGCCAAGACATTTGCCACCCTGACTCGGGTGTTGATGGCTGCAGTGCCTTCCCTGTGACCCAAGTCTCCAAGTCCAAATGCAGGGCCGGAGTGGGGGGTGGG